TGCAAACTATTTATAGATTCCTCTTCTCCTGCTGTCCCTTGAGGAATCAGAAATGGGCAAAGGTAATCAGACTTCTATTTTTAAGGAGTTGATCGAAACCAGATATTTCCTCTTTTCTCCACCTTTCCCCTCCTTCCCTCTGTTGCTGATCTGTACACGCTTCTTTGGGCAGGTGAGACCTTGCTCCATGTGGTGTTGTAACAATTCTGGTAACTCTCAGGTGATGTGATTCAGAATTTGCCCTGGGTGAACTCTTGTTTGCTGAGAGTTTCTTCCTCCTCCCTGCATCCAGGAGTTTCCCAAAGGCCCTTGTGACCAGTTTCATCCACTCAGTTTGGACTGCACCTTTCAGAGGGTTTTGGTCTTGGAGATTGACTCCTGAACTAATCCACCTGCAAGGCCCCGGGTTCCCTTTGCCCCCTCATATGTCAGGAAGGCTATCCAAAGGCTTTAGACAATGTATAGCCAGGAGTGAGAGACAGAATTGCTTTTGCAGATGGAGAGTTACAGTAATGAGTCCTGAGGTCCCGGGATTTGAGTAAAACCTAAACCAAGGGAATGTAACCTGAGGCTCAGAGAAATAAGGACCAGCTCAGCCTTCACTGAGAAAGGCTGAAAGTCCCAGCTCTAATGCAGGAGGATGCCTACAATTATGGGCAAAGCAACACCAGGAGGGACAGCCTAGTCTCAGGGAGTACATAAAAGCAGCCCCAGGCTCCTGTAGTCTCACCTGCTGCTGGAAATCTGATGGTGAATGAGAGGCAGGACGTGGTTAGAGTACCTGAGCGATTGTAGCCTCCACAGGGCGGTGGCTCAGGAGTCATGGGGCTGGGGATGGACCCTGTGGAGCCGGGCTGGCTCCTCTGAACCATTGGGAATATTTTGCTGAGAGTATGTAGGTTGTATGTAATGAGCATGGAATCACATAATAGTTTCAGATGGAAGCAGCGTTAAAGATCATCCAGTTCCACCCCCGTGACACGGGTCTGCGTGCATGCCTGTGCTTGGGGGGATATCCTGAGGCTGGGGAAGGGGCTCTGCTGTGTGGAGGGCCGTGGCGTGGGCAGGTTTTGGAGTGTGTGATGCTGTGGAGCATTTGGCTGGGCACCTGAGGGAGTTTTGATGTGTGGGGCGGTGGTATGTGTGGTGTGTCGAGGTCAGCGCGTGTGGGGTGCCTGAGTGGAACCGCGATGTGCGGATCTGTGAGCGCACGGAGAGTCAGCACAAGACGCGCAGGTGTGGTGAGGGACTGCGGTGTGCGTGACTGTGGGGTGTGATGCTTGGGGCGTGTAGGGCTGTGCAGGTGTGTGCATGGGGGCCCCGGCGTGCGGCGCTCCGGGTGTGTAGGGCTGCGTGCGTGCCTGTGCAACGCGGGGTGTGTAGGGCGACGGTGTGTGAAGCTCGGGGTGCGCAGGGCTGTGCCTGTGTGTGTCGGAGGCGTGCGGGGCTGTAGGTGGCGGTCTGTGGAGGGGCGGCGGTGCGCGGAGCCGCGGTGCGGTGGAGCTCTGCGTGGGGCGGCGGAGCCGCTGTTCC